CGTATTAAGGGTGATGAAGAGAAAGAATTTAAATCAAGGGAAAATGGGGGAAAAACTTAAGTCAGAAGGAAATGCTTAAAAATGCTGTATTTTTATTCTTCAACACAAATCAAAATATAAACTGCAAAAATTACTGTACATTGATGCAAATGGAAAGAATAAATTTGCTCTAAAATAGGTATTCACAGTACTTTATTTCTGTCATCAAGCATTCCTTTCCCTCAAGCACTAAGTAAACCAAACAAGGTATTCTAATGTGGCAGTGCAGCATTTTAAAGCTTCACATAAGAGAAAGTAAGAGACAGAAAGAGGCATAACAACAACCGCATGATAACATTCTTACACCCCTGCCACAGTAAGGACACCACCAGAACCATATTATGGACGAACACCATGTACAATGCTGCTATTTTCTATTGGCAAGAGAATCCAAATGCTTTTACCAGAAAAAAAAAGCAAAAAAGCAAAACCCTAAGTACTCCTCTGAAAATGTAAGCAGATGAATTTTTAAACAGTTCCACTCCTTTGTGTAAACTCCACAGCTGTGAAATTATAATGGCAAAGTAAAATATTAATCAGCGTTGATTTTCTTAACTAGGGAATGGAGGCTCCATCTTCTAGTGTCAGCTGAATTTGTAAAATATGCAGATGTGTTTTATTAAACAGATACATTGAACTAATCAAATATTTGTCTTTTTTTTAAAAAATAATTTAATAAAATAATTGCTTATGTGGACCTTCACCTTCAATTTTCAGAAATGACTAAGAACTGTATTTTAATGCAATGAGCCAAACAGGCAAGGTTTGTTTTACTATTTTTTTTTCTCACTAAAAATGTTACAAAATCATAGTGTGAGAGATAGGAACAGTTAGAAAGAAATCAAAGTCCACCAAATTTTCAGGATATGAAGTATAACTTGCATTAAGTATCTCTGCACTCTTAATCACATTACTAACTTAAAAACTTAAAAACTGATTTAGGATTGTTACCTATGACATGTTTGGCTGTTGTATGGAGACTAGTAAAATTTATGCCAGGGAAGTAAACTCCATCTCCACTGAAAATGTTTTCTCAAATCAGTGCTGTGATAGTCATTCTTATAACTGTTTAAGCTCTTCTATACAGCTCCTGCTGGTACAGCTATCAAACATTAAGCCAAGAGAATTCATCTCAAAGTTGTTGTTGTTTCTTTGGAATAGGCATGCGCTAAAGAAAATATATGCTGGATTTTAAAGAAATCCTATGAGGTCAGACAGGAAAAGAGGAAATATCCCTTTCTATGAAAGCTTGTAAACACTGTAATGGCTCACAACCATTACATTTTAATGGCTCACAACCAGATAACTGCAGATCATGCATAGCTTTCTGCAAAATGGAATAAAGAGAAACCTGTGGATATCAAAATTTTCTCTAGCTATCGTCTATACATGCAAACGAAGTGATAGACTGCATCACTGTTCAGAGAAAAATAATATCTTTTATAAAATTGCACACAGTGTGAAGGTTCTTGCCACTATGTCATCTGGCATTTCTTAGAGATGGCCTTATTCCAATTAAAACGTTGTGCTTTTATTTTCCTTTTAATTGTATTTTTCCATGTGTCACAGCTGCAATGAATTCATGTCTTCATGATTTTTAAAAGTAGTTGCCTGCAGTGGTGTTTAAAATTTTTGAAAACACATTACACTAAATTTTGTCCTGAGAAAACATTATTGCAGGTCATAGCATCTTAAAAAACAAGGCAAGATGCAGCAATATATAAAATTTGAATTCTCATTGCATGTTCTTTTTGAGCTGTCCCTGAGGGGAATTTATTTTAAGCCATAGCTATGGTTTAATCTCAAAGCATGAAGTAATTTTGTATCATAAATCAAATTTAAATAAAAAATGAAATATACTGTTGAGAGTAACCATGACTGAATGGCAGCTATTGATCACATATAGCTTTGGTACATTCCAGTGACATCTTTTCCTTTGCCAAAACCTAGACTCTGACACCCTTAATTTGCAAATGTTCTGCTTCAGATTCTTTTGGGTACCATTGCTATGGGCTTCAAAATGAGATACTGGACTTGACTTAAAGGAGTCCTTCTTTGAATAAAAGGGCAATTGACCTAGCAGAGGCTCCTACAAATGCAAGGGAGTAGGAAGCAATTCTGCCAATTATTACTCATAGGTGGAGCCCCCCTGCATTATTCCTTTGCTGATCTGGAGGGATCCAGTCCCAAGCAGATTTTCATGAGGCATAGGGGGAAATGAGTGATGATTGTCCCCCATCTATTCATGGGGGATTCATTAGATCCAAGTCCCTTCAATATGTCAATTGTAGGCATATTGTAAAAACTGCCCTGAAATTAAACAGTATAATTGTAAAACCACACAGAATACTAAAATTGATCATTAGTTAATTTGGAGTATTCCTTTGGACTCAGTTGCATCATCCTAAGGAAAAATAATTTGCAATCTACACATAGCTCTTTTGCTGTCAACTCTGCATGGCTATCACATTGAAAGAAATAGAGGATGCCATTTTATTGGATACCCACATCCAATGCAATCTCATGAGTGGGTGGGTGGGTGAAGAAAGAACTCCGTGGTATGGAACACCACACTCAGAATTAAATGATATGCAAAACTTGGTAGCCCTCCACATTTGAAATACAACCAGATCATTCATGTATAAGGAACTTGACTAAGTTGATTTTTTTAAAAAATCTGTCCATTTCTTTGTTGTACTGTTGTTTACATAAAACAGCACTTTGGAACTCACAAATAATAAAGCAGCACTTCCGCTCAATACCAACACTACTGTAACATACACTGTAGCGTGGCATGCACATCCATACTTGAAGTCCTTATTGGTTTTGCATTAATCAAATGGTAATTTTCTGTTTCAAATATTAATAGCACAGTCACATGAAAAGGGTATCCCAGATCCTGGTACAAAGGCAATATACACAAATGATGTCATAAAACATGGAATAGGATGCTTAGTTCCAGTAATATTTTCAGTACTATAACAATCAACTTTGTAGTACCAGGAGTTGAAGCTGCTGGATACCATTAGTCACCAAACAAGTTTAGTGTGCATTCCGGTTAATTAGACAATGTCACCATCAGATCCAAGCCACCAATAAATTGGCTATTAAACAAATGTTGTAAGTTCACTGCACAAAAATAAACTGTCCTTTTAATAGACTTTGTTATATAGTAAAGTTTCAGTAACTTATATACATCATGTAGTCCAAAAGCGGCATTGCACCTTTTTCTTGTTGGTAAATCACTCTCAAATTTAAAATCGATCAGACTGAGCTGAGTTTCACAAGGCCACGTACTGAGTCTTCATGTAATGAATCTTGGCTGGCTAGGCTGAGGATATGCATGGTACGGCTGTGTGTCATTGGACTTCCAATTGGCAACATACCAGGTGGTGAAGGTGCCTCCTCAGGAGTAAGAAACTGATGACTTTCAGGGTCCTGCTTTAATGGCATCATGTCTGTCAAACCTGTTTCTGTTGTGAGATTTGGCATGGAGGAGGGTGGTGTTGGTTGCCCTAGTGTTAATGTGGCACAGGGAGCACTGATAGAGGTCTTTCCAGGGAAACGCAGCTCTTCACTACTTATGCTGGGATCGCTCTGGAGAAGTGGAGTGGCAGCAGCCTGCAAAACGAATTTAGTGCTCTGAATGCACTGATCTTGATCACACTGAAGAATTGAAGGGCGCCAAAATAGCACGCAAGACATATGAAAAGAAGACAGACAGAGAGATGGAAGGATATGGGCAAAAGAGAAATGGGGTGTGAAGAGAAAGAAGAGAGTTGTTAGTAATACCGCTTTGTTAGGCTGACAAGCAGAGCATGCACTTCATCTCAGTCCATTCCATGGAAATGAAAGTATACATTATGACCAGCACTTGCAGTATTGGGAGTGTCAGAGCCCTCACATATCGCCAAAGAACTGATTGGTAACTAACGGTGCCTTTTACCAGCTTACAATTGTATTTACATTCTTCTCTGTAGGTCTTTTGACTAGTCCTGTCAGATTTCGCTTTGGATCGCATCATAACGCCTTTCAAACAACTGTTGAGCAACTTTAATGCTATTCCCTTTTTCTCTAGGTCATTTGTGCACGTGCATTAAATGCACAGGAGTCTGCATGTGGGATGACTGGCCCCATTCACACAGACACACTCAATCCTCTGGCTTTTGGCAATTTCTGGTAACACACGTATCTATGGCACTGAGTTGCTCAGCAATGATTTTTGATGACAGACTATAGAAGAACTCTACCCTTATTAAGCAAAAAGCATATTACGGGAAATTACAGCAAGCACAGGCTTTAAACATGCACAATACAGAGAACATACCAAAAAACCTGCTGACTCAAAAATAATGTTTTGTCTCCAATGGTTACACAAGTGAAAAGGCAAACATTCTTCCTTCCCCTCTTCACCCTGAAGCCTCCTCAAACCTCCCCAGGGTTGTGGAGGGGCTCTTGTACAATGTGAGCCATGTGGCTGGGGGCTGCAATAGGCAGGAGGAACTTCCAGGAACTCCATGTGTGTGTGGAGTTTAAGAACTGGCTCCTTTCTTTGATTTTACTGATATCAAACAACTGTGGATTAAGACAGATACAGATTGTGGTTGTGGTGACAGGCATGTGCCATCGAGTATTCAGTACAACATAAAATAAGGCATATGATTAGCATATTATTCTGATGTGAATAGACTATGAGGGCCAAAGGTAAAACACAAAATATACCAACTCATTTATAGAAGCATGAAGCACAGCAGTGGGTGCTTTATAACACATCTGTAATCCATAAGGCAGTTGCTTAAAAATAGAATCTTTTATTTTTTGCACTAGTTAATTGTTTTATTATGTTTATAAGCAGGATCACAGTTATTTACAACATTCTTCTTTTTCTGCTAGTGTCTGTATTTAAGCAGTTTTGAAAAGGAAGTAGTTTCCTGCTTGAAGTCAAAATGAGAGGTACAGGATTCTATGGCACTTGCAGTCATGCAAAACAAAACTAGCAACCAAAGTAACATTTATAAAGTGTTCTTTCTGAGTGTTCAGAGTATTACTCTGAGAACCCATGGGTTGTTCTAGAAGTTGTAGTACCTACAGCCTGAAGCCAGATGACCAGTCCCATCACGGGCACTCAGAATCAGCTAGCAAGCGGCTTGGCAAGAGTGCAAAACCCCCAAGCTTGGCCAAGCCTCATTGCCAACTGCCCCATAATATGTAAGCAGCATTTGCGGGTGGCTGGTATTGTCTTGCAGTCCTTCCCACCACAATAATGAGTGATTCGGGGCTTGCTGGGGTTCTTCCCCCTTCCCTATTTTTGTGGGCAGGGTTGGGGAGATCATGAAAGCCAGCTTGCAGAACTGCAATTTGTAGTTTGCAAGTGCAGAAATGTGAAGCATTGAGTGGGTTAGGTGGTACCTGCTGCCCATGTGCAGCAGGCTGAAACCTTGATATTGACCCAAAGAGAGTCCAAATAAGTTTCTTCTATCCTTTTTTTCCTCTTGGCAGCTGACAATTTGTGAAAACGTGCTGGAGTGATTTATATTCTTTCTTGAGGAGTTCCTAATTTTTCTTCCCAACTGTTCCACCAGAGAGCCCCTTTTGCAAGCTGTGGACTCAAGGTTTGCAAAACAAATTTAAGTGATAATGATATGAGGCTGCATGGTGGGGGGGGGGGAACCTTGTGCTATGGATAGTGGTCCTTAGATTACTTTATTGGAACCCTAGAATAGTTGAATGTTTCTTCTATTACATAGCCTCATATTTCTGCATTAAAATGTTTCTATTTTCTACAACTACAAAAAATATGATCCCCATACATTACACAAATTAGGACACAATCCTTATGTTGAAGTAAGCCCCATTGAACATAAAGAGAATTACTTCTGAGTAAACATGCACTGAATTGTGCTGCATAGCTAACTGCTTAGGCACTAAGTCCTCTCCTTTTTCCCATAGAACATGGAATTGTGGAAATTTAGGGAGGTAAGTGGAGAAGGAATGCACTGGAGTGCATATACAAATATATGTGTAAGCCCTGAATTACTTGGGAAGAGGGAAAAAAGTAGGGTGTGGTCACCTTTCTGGTTGCTGAACATTTAAGCAAACTCCACACACATATTTTCAAGTTTTCCACAGAAATGAAGACTACCTATGCATTATTTTTTAGAATCAGTGTAAAGGCTGACTGTTAATCCGCTATATCTGCTTTCAGTTTTATTGCATAACTGAGCTAACTCAGCACTAGAAGAACATTTCCTTTGCTGCTTTTCAGCTATGCATCTTCTAGATGGCGCTGTGGTATAACAGAACAGTACAAATATAAAAGAGGAAATCATAGTTTCTTTCACTTTTAAACAAATGCTGCATATTCCCTACTTTGTAAGAAACTTGCTGAAAGTGCAGGTGAGACAGAGAAGTGAAAATGGAGTGTCATGGCCTTGTTTAAAGAACTTGTAAACAACCATGAATAGGGAATCAATGCATGATAAATGCTTTACATAGAAAGGCCTTACTGCACTATTTGTGCAATATTCAATTGGAATATAATCTTGCACGCCTGATGGACTAGGATAGAGTAGAATTGGGAGACACCTATAAGACCATCCAGTCCAATCCCCTGCTCTGCTTCCACATGTGGTCACCCATCCAGCTACAGGCCCACACCTTTCCAGCTTAGGAAAGATGGTTTGACATGCTAGCTCAATGTCTTAGCTATACAAATAGTCTAAATGTAAGAATTACACAGATCTATATAGCTGCAAAATTTGACAAACAGAGATATGTGCATGCACTTGGTGCTGTCTCTCTGGTCTTTTATTTAGACTATTGGGGAAATAAAAAATCAAGGCTATCATGTACAAAATTCTTTATTCACTGTGATGCAATTTTAGCTATATAAATGTCTTGAAATCCCAGCCTTTAATTCCTCAAGAGCTATTTCTGCAAAAAAAAAAGTTTTATACAACTTACTCTTCATACTATACTGAATTTTATATCATTCTGATATTACTATAATTTGTCCAAGTATGTTTTATGCCTGAACAATGTTACTAATTAGGAACAGACATCTAGAAATATTTACTGTCATAAAACACTTTATTTTGAATGGAGTTTACTGTACTGAATGTTTACAGTTTCAGTCAAGGAAACACATAAGGTGGAATCAAGCCACAATATTTATCATCTTGTACCTTAAAAGATTTAGTTTGATTCATAAAACACCCTTCAAAACATTCAGGGCACTACAACTGTACTGAAAAATGATAAGGCCCCTTCCTTTCAAATGAACATCAAATAGTATCTACTCTGTAAAGCATTTCTAATTGACAAAGAATGCATTTATTTATAAATAGCTGTTCTGAGGCTGACTTTTCAGTCAAAATTTCCTTTTTAGGAACTAAAGAGGTTCCTCAGATAAGCAACAAAGCCTGTAACTCTATATAACTATAGTTCCAAAATCTGCACACAGTATGAATAACTTACTAACTGCATATACTGCATATGACTATACAAAGTAGCTGCATGTTACTTAGCATCATTTCCTTAAGTGCAATTGACCTGACTGCCTTGTTCTTTTCTATACTTATCCTGCAAGTATACTTCTTCTATGAAACATGAGGGCTACAGAAAGCTTCTTTTTAAAAACAGGAATAATGGGGCAAGTGATGATCTCATGACTGGTGCCACAGAACTAGCAGTGTACCCTTGTTAACAGCAGTGTACCAAGTACAGTTCCCACAGGTTTAAGTGAACGCATGAGCTCATTTGAGATGCATCTATCCTGTGAAAAATGTTCACAGCATTATATTTCATCCTGGGAAATGGTAAGACCCACTTCTGTTATTTTAGGCCTGGCACTCAAATTACTCCTGTGGCATGAAAGTCTCTGCAGTCTTGTTACTTGCTCCAGCCAGGCCATGAAAAAAGGCAGCAATCAAACAGAAGGAACCCCTATTGCAACCTCTAGCTACATGTTTGGGTGAGGGGTTTGTTTGTTTAAAAATACTAATAGCTGTTTCAATTTAGCCAAAAAGACAGAAATGGCAGATGAAATGCTTTCAGTGCAAAAGCTGTTTCTGTTGCAAGCAAAGAGTCTTGGAGCACTTTAAAGATGAACAAATGTGTTATGGCAAAGGGTTTTGTGCAGAACAGTCTACTCCATCAGATGCCATGAAAGTTTATGAGATAATTTGCTCATCTTTATGGTACCATAGTTCTCTCTCCTGGGTAAGGCTTAAGAAGTAATTCTCATTTAGATATTATTATGGAAAAATGGAAATAGTAGCAGTGATACCATGAGTGGGGATGTATAAGCAGCAGACTAGGCTGCAGAAGCCAGAGAGTGAGGACCTTAGAAATAAGCAAGCCACCCTTAAATGTTTTCTTTCTCTTTCACATCCATTTCAGCAGCACCAGCTGAGGTGGTACAACATAGAGTGACTTGTGAGGTAGGGTGGAAAACAGTGTATAACTACTACCATGGGCTGCAACTGTGCAGGAGTGCGGTAGTTATGCATTAATCATTCAGCACCATGCTGGGCTAGCTGCCTTGTGCTCTAAACACTGCCAGAAAGTATGAACCAGTCAGGAGATGAGTCCCACTGTCGCTTAGTAACTGTCCAATACTTTTGACCACTTCCTACCCACGACATAGGGCACTACTGCTAAATAATAGCTACAAGAAATAAAACATACTATAATAAAGTTCCATCAGGGCACTAACATATGCCCAAATAATGCATGCCAAAGTTTTGCAGAGTTAAAAATCTAAATTTCAGCATCAGTAGCTTTAAAAATCCTCTCACTGTATTAGAACTGCCTGTTCCTTTTTAACATTACCCAAACTCCTTTGATTTCAGAGGTTTATGGGCAGCTGCAATGGATAAAGTCCTCCACCGAGCTTTTGTATGCCTGCCTCCAACACCGAAAATGTATGTCTGAATGAAAAACCAAGAAACATTCTTTTGGACTATCTAAGCAACTGCATGAGATAACATTATTTTTGGAGCACACCCAAGATAAGACTGGCCAAGGCTATTTAGTGAGTCTGCTTGGGCAATTACAGTTTAACCATCAGTAAAGTTGCCTGTCCAACTATGACCAAAGATGTGCAACTATAACCTAGCAGATGGTTTGTAGAACTACTGTAATACT